ATAGAACCAGTCACTCTGTTCATCATCCCCTAAAATACAAAGGTTCCACCATTAGCTGAACTGTATGGTCTACCATGAATAATGCTCGATCACGTTTCCAGTGATGGGTTACACAGGTTTAAGTGCCCATTCAACACTTTCAGTCCAAGTCAGGCTGCTCAGTGACATTCTTCACAAGTGAACCCTCTCATTCTTTCTAGGCCAGCCGATCCCGTTACATGTCACGCGTTTCCCAGACCCTTACGTTCTCATCTTTGTTTTAAAGAGAATGATGAATGTTTGATCTCATTTGTTGGTCCATGTGTTACTTAGCTATAAGGTGACATCAAGGGTTAGTTTGGGTTCAAGATTCTAAGATTCCTCCAGTCTCGACCGGTCTTGTAGTCCTGCTTTTGTTTGTTTGGGGTTTGGGATTGGGGTGGGGGGGCTAAGGGATGAGTATTCTTTGCAGTTTTGTTTTTTAGAAATCTGAGGTTCCGTTCCATGTTTTTCTCCCTTTCTATCAGGATCCATGCATTGTGGTCCTGAGTTAAATGATCAGTGACGTAGCTGGGCACCATCTACCTCTTGTGGTCTCAGGATGGATGCGCTTGTAGTTCAATGAGCTGAACTTTCAGCACACACTATAATAAAACTAAATGAGGGGGTGGTTTCTCAGCATTACAAAGCTGATTGTTATTTTTAAATAAAACCAAAGAACAAAAACAAATGTTCATTCTTCTTGATCACATTATAATGAAAATTGGGACATTATAACAGGTAGGCATAAATATTGTACTATGTAAGACTGGACTCCTTTTCATAGTAAAAACCAATAAGGTCTTTTTCACAAGTAAAGTAATTCGAGCCCAGAGATGTCAAAATAAAATTAGTGAACTATGAGCTAGGATTTGAGACCAAAGCCTGATAAACTTCCCGAGTGTGAGCTTTTTACCACAAACTACGTTGGCATTACCATTGGCAGTGGCCTACACTGACGTGGAGATTCAAAATCCATCTGTGTTTCTCAATATAAAACTAGCTGCTCCTTGGAAATTTCTTGCTGTTTCACATTTTCGTAATAGGTGACTGGAGAACAGAAGCCACACCTCTTTTTTTCCTCCTCGGCATCTCATTACTGGAACAGAAAGTCACCAGAACACTAGGAATTCAAGATAGCAGGAAAAACCTGGAGACAGACAACTTAATTGCTCAGGGCTTGTCAAGGTCATACTGCTCAGCAGTAACAAAGCAAAGACCAAGTCCACATATCCAGACTCTTGGTTCCCATGTCTTTCCACTGGCTACAACCACAGTACCTGTTTCTATTACAGCTACTTCATACCAACAGCGAGTAAGATAGGTAACTTCACGTCTGCCTTCTCAGGCCCCTTTCCAAATAGCAGTGATTGAGAAAATTACTAGAAGAACACCCAAAGAGAACCAAATACAATCATCGTCTACCATGTACTGAATCCTGGAGAAGCCACTTGTGACAGGCTAAAGGTCAGATGCATGAGCCACTTCTCAACTCAGTGCCATCGAGCCCGTGCCGACTCACGGCGACCCCACAGAGTGAAGTGAGACGCTTTACAGGAGCAGAAAGCCGCGGCGTTCTCTTCAATGGGCTCTTGCACCCAGGAGAAGCCGATTCCTGCATCACTGCAGAGATCACAGAAAGCTAAGTCCTGGTGAGCAGCAGCATCACCCCTAAAAGAGAGACTTGTTCCCTGGTTGAAGCAAAGCACAATCAGTTGTCTCAGATGGTGCTCCTCGACCGCTAGTTAGCCTGCAGCAGGACAGAGGAGAATGGCCCCACACGGTTTCCTAGGCTACAATCATGGAAGTTGATCACTTGGTCTTTTCTCCCCAAGGGGGGCTAGGTGGGGTCAAATCTCCAGCCTTTTGCTTAGCAGCACCACCAGGGCTCCTTAGGGGGCTAGTCCAACAACAACAGCTGGACCCTACCCCCCAGCCCCCCCCCAAACCTCTGGCTTTGAGAGGGCTGAGGCAGGACAGAGAGTTCCCTCTCTAAGCAGTTCCCTAGCGAGGCCCCGCTGCCCTAGGAACCACCCGAGGGTCACTCCTCTGAAAGCCTCCCTGGAAGCCAGCTAAGTAGCCGAGCTAAAGACAGGAGAGAGGCTGGTTTCTCCGCACTACAACAAACAGCTTTCTTGTCCACAAGCTCCGATCAACAGGGTGTACTTTGGAGAGCTCGCGCTCACACATCCGTTTGATGAGCACTGGCACTGCCCACCAGGGAAAGCTTCTGGTTCTCACTCACTCAGACCTCAGCAACATGAAAGGGGACTCACTGGACTGGCTGGAACCTAGTGAGACCAAGGAGTCCAGGCGTCTGCCAACTGGACCACAAGGAGGCCTGGGGCAGGAGTTCCTCAGCAGAGGGCTGCCAGGGAGTCGGGGAGAGACTAAGGCTGAGGGGTCAGTGTCCTGACCTGCAGCCCCACCCACTGGAGTCTTGCTTTCCCCAGAGAGGTGTCCTTACTCGCAGGTCTAGGAGACTATGGAAAATACTGTCTGGCTGGGATGGGAGCAGAGGAAAGAGAGCTTTCTCTTATCCTGGGTCCTCCATAACCATTTTTTTAACGCTCACCGAGTGCCGGGCAATGTGTTCAGCACTGTGGCAGGGATAATAAAACACCTCCTGTGGGGAGAAGTCAGACACTTGCTGCCAGACTGCTGTCTCATCCCACAGCAGGGCTGGGCCTGCTCCCTGCTGCTGGGGACAATGGCCTACTTCTCTCTGAAGCTTTGGGACCATTAGCTTGGTTCCTCTAGGTGGGGTTTACACCCTACTGATAATGTTCCTAT